TCTAGCCTTGGATCAGGGTGTAGCTTTGCTTTTTATTCCTGTTGTAAGTTCCTTTGTTGCTTGGTACATCTCATGGACTGGACATGTACAAAAATAACTGAATTCACTGAAGAGTTTTTTCTTAGACTCGGCTGTTCTGTAAAACCTGTTGTAGAATCTCTCCTCATGGGATCATGTGTTCTCTGAGGCTCTGGACAGATGTTCTTTTCTGGATCTGACTGTGCCAGTGGAACAAGTTGCTGCTCCCAGCAGCGGTTAACAATCCCTCCACTCTGCCTGCAGAGCTGCTCATGGGAGTGTCTTCTGACCTGTTTATGGCAAAATGAGCTGAGCTAGGAGATACTTGTCACTTGCAGTGTTTTTAGGCTGACTGGGTTAATTTTGAGTGATACAGATTGGGGAGTGCTTACACAAGAAACTCCCAGTAGGGGTGATGCTCTGTAGCTGAAGGTGGATAAGGAGGAGACACAAACCTGCTCTGCCAGCAGAGCTGTCAGCAAAACACATTTGTCTGCTCCTCAAGTGTGGTGTGTGGTATGAAACTGCTCCACTAAACTAGTTTCTTGTTGCTGTCTCTAATTTTGGTCCTTGCAGTTTGAATACCAGCAGGCCCAGCTGGAAGCTGAAATTGAAAATCTCTCATGGAAGGTGGAGCGAGCAGACAGCTATGACAGAGGGGTGAGTGTTCTGCTTGCTTGAGCCTGCTGGCCACATTTTGTTTGCTGGGCTTAACACTTCTGCAGGAGCACTGAGGTATTCAAGTGAGAGTTCTGAGAAACTAGATCCAGAAACCACCCTTAGGCAGCAGATGTTGTAGGAGCAGAGTACTCACTGCTTATGGAAGGGGAGGGTGGGCTGCAGGGAGTCCTGCAAAGTGAGATGGGACATACAGAGCTCTGGAAGAGGCTCCAGGTATCCCTCTGGTGAAGAGCAGATACCTTAAATGTGTAGTGGTTTAGGGAGAGCAGGAGCCAGGCAACTGCAGAGGGAGCCCACATCAAAAGCAAGAGGATCTGGGATCTTGTGATCCAGAGTGCGTGTGAAGTGTGACAGTTGGTGCTTCTCACGTGGAGTGTAGTGTCTCCTTGAGGAAAATGAGCTCTTCTCCAGAAAACGTATGCTGACAGTTTGTACCTTCTGTTTTACCAGGACTTAGAGAATCAGATGCACATAGCAGAGCAGAGACGGAGGACCCTGCTGAAAGACTTCCACGACACATAAGACAGGAGGAAGTGACGAAGTGCAGGGGTGAGAGCAGCGAGTGAAGTGATGGCAGCTTCACTGGGATAAGCAGGCACTGCCTCTGGGAGAACACGGCCAAGGACAAAGCCACCCCTCCCCTTGCAAGTCAGACACATGCAAACACCACATCTTAGTCCAGTTTGTTCTCTTATCTTTTTCTGTTTCTGCCAGGCTAGAGGCCAGAGCTCAGATTGGCATATTTCCTGGGCCATTTCCCTCCTGCCTTTGATGGTTTCAGAAGGGGAGGGAGTTTTTCTCTGAATGGCTGTTAATAGTATTAGATCGTTACAGTTTATGTAATTTTCAACGGTTGTACAATTATACAGACAAACCTTAGAATAACACACAACCCTTTTTAAAAATAAATTGGCAGTGGAGTGTTTTTCCTTAATCTGCTTGTAAATTTAATGGGCTTTTCCCCCTCTCCCTCTCCCTTCCTCTGACCCAAAAATCCTCCTAGGCACTGAAGGAGGTTACAAAATATCTCAGCTAGATTTCCCGATGCTCCTTTAACCAGGGCATTGTAGCATTGGCATTGCACGAGGAGAGTGGCTGGTGTTAAGGGTGGCTGCTGCTGTGTCTGGCCCTACAGTACCAGCAGTGGCTGTTATTCAGTATGATTACATGTGACATCTCTTGTCTTGTAAATCAGCTGTGCAAAATCCAGCTACACAAACAGAAACAAACAGAGGAATTTCAAGGGACAGACCAGGTTAACACTGGGGGATATGCCTTGAGTTTGAGAGAAATTGAGAGAAATCAGATTCTGCATTTGATGGATTTTAGGTCTTCCATGTAGATTTTTGCTTTACTTGTTTTTGTGGAGAGGATGTTGTATTGCCAAAGCGAATGATGAGGGACTAGTAGCATACAGTTGTTAATCAAGGCTTGGGGCTTTTGCAGAGTGAAAGAATCCATGTTATAACAGTGCCATGCAGCCTGGTAAAGATTATTTGTGCCTCCTGGGTAGCATGGCTGAGAAAATTTGATTTTGTTCATTAAAATGAGACTGAATACCACTACATTATGAGGAGGAAAGATTATGTACAACACACTCCCTGGCACGTGTTGGCAATGTGGACGGGCACTTGAATTCAGGTGCATTACTTGTGCAGAGCCTGCACAAAGCCAGGCAGAAAATTAACTAGCAAAATTAATTTATTTGTATATTAGTATTGATGCTGGTGGGGACTTATCAGAAAATTGATTGTTAGGAGCATGTGGAGCTTTTTTTATTAACATTCTTTTTTCTAATGTAAAATATACACTAAAATAAAAATATGAAAACCTAGTTCATCTTAGTAGGGGTTAACATGAAAAAGATTGCTTAAATGCTGATCCTTGCCTGTCTGCTACAGGAAGCAGGCCACATGTTAGGATTTCACAGGCATGTGTGTCACCTGCACCGGAGCTTGTTGTTTGCAGCCAAAAAGGTGCAGCCGGAGTCTGATCTGAGGAAATCTTCACCTCTGTGGGGAACTCACTTCCATGCTGTATGTGGAAGTGTTGCCTTTGATCTATCCCCGTATTGTTCTTATGCAATGTGACTTGATAAAGATTAAACTGGAGGGGAGAAAAGTGCTAAATTTCTGCATGTCAGAATAAGCTCACTCCACTGTTGGAGCCTCTTTCATGTGCCTGAGACACATAATCCAGGTATTTGCATCAGGTATAATTGGGCTGATGGATTTTATCAAGTGATGCATCAGTTTAAAAAGGAGTAGCTGCCATAGGAACTAATCCTGTCAACCTGCTTGTTGTACACAGCAGAAAATTTCAAACTGAGAGGCCTTTTCCTTCCTCCCTTCCTTCCCTGGCGTGGGATGTATCATCAGGGAACAGGGGAACATACTGCGAGGAGTGGGATTACAACAGAAGAGGCTGAGGGTAGGGAAGGGTTTTGGAGAGATGGCTGGAGCCGGGGAGTGGGGCAGGGAAGGGAGTCTGGTTTCTGGGAGCAGCACTGCTTGCTGTGCAAGAGATCTCCATAGCCATGGCTCCTTGTGTTCCAGCTCTGTCCTGTTCTGGCTCCCCTCGAGGCTGGAGCCGTAGAGGTAGATATGTCCTTGCTCCAGCCACTGTCTCCTGACTTCATTCCCTCTGCACCCAGCAGCAGCCTCTTTGTGCCCTCCTCTATATTCTAGAAGTCAGTCTCTTCCTTCCTCTCCCAAATGATTGTCAGAGTCGGGGCAGGCTGCACCCACAGGAAAGGTTTGCTGAGACCCCAGCAGTTTGCAGTGCATAGAACCCATGTTTAAACTGTTCTTTAAAAACGTAATGTGCAAAGTACTGATTAGGATAAAAGCTGGTGTTCTTGTTGTCAAACGTAACTATCTTAATACCTAATCTCTTTGCAGAACAGATATGTGGAGTTCCCTAATCCCAAAGAATTATCACTTCTGTTACATAATTGTCCAGCTTTGAGCTAGATGAGAATGGGGTTTTGTCTCTCTCCCTCCCTGCCTCCTTCCCTCCCTCCCTCTCCCATGCCCCCACAAAATGCTTTGCTATGAATCCTTGTTTGTTGACAAGCCAGGCTGTATAGCTGTGGCGAGACTTGCTGAACAGGCTGCCGAGATGCTTGGCTGAGGAACAGTAATAAGGATTGCACAGTGCACCCCCTAATTCTTTCAAATTTTCTGAAACTAGAACTTTGTCAACAGTTCCATTTATTTTTAAACAAAACAAAACACCCTTTCTGAAGGTGATGAAAGTCCTGGGTTGCATGCATAGATCCTGTTGCTGTACTCTGGGAAAACAACAGGACTTGCTTTTGCAGCCCAGGCAGGGCGACTTCTGTATTGGTGTTGTTCAGGAAGTCGTGGACTCCAGGACAAAACCTGCAGAGCACAGGGGCTGCTGGCTCCACGTGTAAGGTGGCTGACACAGCTCAAGAGACAGGTGACAGGAGGGAAACAGGTTCTCAACACCCGAAGACAAGGCCAGTTTCTTCCCCTCTAATAGGTACATGGCCCTCTTTGAGTCAGCAAGGTTACATGGATGTAGGTGAATAGAAAGTGGCTCAGGAGCCATTAATCCTGAGGTACAAATTTCCCTTTGATGCGTTACTGCTAAAGACGTGGAATGTTTGCTCTCTTTTTTCTTTTTTGCACTTGTTTCCAGCTCCTGCGCCAGCCCAGCGCCTCTCCATCCTTGCATCCGGCACTCTTTTATTTCGGCTTCGCTTGTGTTGGTGCATTGGCTGCCTCATCTCTGATAGTCCTCAGGCTTCCCAGACTGTAACAAAACGTTTTCTACTGATACCGTAAACTGCATGACTGCTGCCCTGGGCGCGGCGAAGGTGCCGTGCCCGCCCGCGGGTGGGGCAGCAGGAGGTTTCTGTACTATAGTCTTGCACTCTAAATTTTAGACTTTTTAAGCAGGTGAAAAAAAAATAGAACTTTATTTTTAAATGAGGCACTTGTTCTGGGAATTCCTTTCCTGGCCCCGATCTGGTTGGGGTTGTTGGGCTGTGTGTTTGGGGGGGTTCGGCGCTGCTGCCACCCCTCGCTTTTCTTCGCAGGCACCGGAGAGGGGCAGGGGCGGCGGAAACCGCCCGGGAGACGGTTGCCAGAGGTGTGCCCATGGTTTATTTGAAATAAATTGTGACTTTCTAACTCCGGCGGTGTCCTGGCTCTCCTTGGCAGCGGGATGGGGACGGGCTGGAGGGGGTGTGGCTGCTGTCGCTGTCCCCGCCCCGCGCTGCCGCAGCGCCCGCCGGGCCGTTGCCGCGGTGACGCGGGCCGGCCGGCCGGGCGATGGCGGCGGCGGAGGCGCGGGCCGAGGGTCCCCCGCTGCCCGGCCCGCCGGGGGCCGCCCGCGGCCCGTCTGCTCCCGGCCCTACTTCCTCGTCCTCATGGTCTTCGCGCACCTCTACGTGCTCAACGTGCTGGGGCTGCTGCTTCGTGCACCTCAGCGCCGGCGAGCCCGGCGGGCCGCCCGCCGCCCCCGCGCCGCCGCCGCCGCCGCCGCCCGCGCCCTCCCGCGCCTCGAGGGCATCAAGGCAAGGCTGCGACCCGGGGGCCGGGGCCGGGGCCGCTCCCGGGGCGCTGCTGACGGCTGCTCTCCCGCGCAGGTGGGCCACACGCAGCGGGTGGAGCTGGTGCCCGGCAGGGCCCACAGTGTGCGCACCCTGAGCCTCAAGCCCGCTGCTCTTCGGTGAGTACCGGCCCCGCCGGGGGCAGCGGCCGAGCCCGGCCCCGGGCGCGCCGGTGGCGGGGGGTTTGCGCTGCCCGCGCTGCCCTGACGGCGGAGGGAGGTGTGTTTGTGTGTGTGTGTGTCTGACACCCGCCGCTGCCTTACACCCACTCGGGGGGAAGCGACCTCGCGTGTTTGCATCACCTCCCCGTGCTGCTGCTCCTGGGGGCTGCGTTAAAAACGCTGTGGTTTCGTTTAAGGTATTTTGATACGGTATTCCCCGTATGGATACGGGATTACTTGTTGTGGATGGGCCGCTTTGAAGAATTTGGAAGATTAACCTTTCCAGGTTTTTCAGATTCCCTTTAAAATACCCGGAATAGACAGCTGGCGAGGACCTCCAAGAAGCTGTGCAGTATTAGGAAGGGGCAAGAGATACCCAAACTTTTGGTAATAAATTATGAAAAAGCAATTTAGTGTTGGTGCTTCAGCACTGAGGAAATGAGTAACAGGGGAATTGATAGATTTCATGTCTTCCACCATTTTGCATCCTGTTCCAGATTTATTTTTGGCTGCTCTGATACACAACCACACAACATCCGTCTCTGAGATATTTTAAAACCTTCTTTACCTTTCTGTGATTTTTTTTGCTATGACTGGTAAAGTCTCATTAATTGAACTCCATGTTCGGGAAATGCACTGAGAATAATTTTTAGGGGGACAGATCATTACAAAATTTCTGCTACTGCAAAGTCAGAGAAAACCTGTTGTCTCTGAAAAAACAGCATGAAGAATCTTTCAGATGCTTTCTCAGAAATATAAATAGAGGGTGCTTTTCTGATTCCAAAGAAATTATATATACTGAAAGCCTGACCATAGGTTTCTTATTAAACTCCGTTAATGCAGTAAGTATCTGGAAAAACTATACAAAGTTCTTTTGCTATTTCTACATAGGTGGTACTCATGGTTTGCCAATTTCTTGGTGGATTTCTGTCTGACGTTCAGGAAACAGATACACCAACCTGGAACTGATACCCCACAGCATCACAAAACCAATGTCAGTACCAGAACCTCGGTCTGGGGCAATCACTCTGGTTTTCACTCAGGAGAACTTCTGTTTCCACCTTCCCTGCCCCACCAGTACCACTGCAGTAAAGAGTTGGTCCTGGCCTGCAGGGAAGGTGCTGAAGGTGATAAAAGGCAGGTTAGTCCAGGTTAGTCCTGGCAGCAGCAATCCCAGTTTTTAGCTTGTTGTTCCAGCACCTCCCTTGGTTCTGAGGGAAGCTTTGCTCCCTGAGGATGCCATCACACAGGGACAGACATTCACCATTTGAGATGCCACAAGAGCCTGTTCTCCTTTGTCCTCTGATAAGGACTCCCTTATTTAGAAGCTGCAACTTGCAAGACAGCTCTTATCTCTTGGATGAACCTGCCAGGAGCCAACTCTGACTTTAAAAGACTTTCAGAGACTTCTCTATCTATGCAAACAGTACCAATCTAATTCAGCTGATTTTTAAAAAACTAATTTATTTCATCTCTGTTGCTTAAATGAGTGGAAGTGTGTCTTTAACTTGGTTGCATTTGATAAATGCAGAAGTCCTTAGCAAAGACTGTTGCGTTTCTGGGGATTTAAGACAAAGTGCTGTGGCATATGAGAGCCAATTTAAGGAAGCAGTGGCTGGTCTGTGATCTTTGCTTTCAGCAGAGCAGACTGCAGTGGGACCACAGCAGCAGACACCCATTAATGATTTAATGTGAGCTCTGGGCTTTGGGGCGTGGGCTGGGCACCGTAGGGGAACTTGCGGTTTGTTTTTTAAATGTGAGTAAGTCACATCTGCATCAAACCGAAGCTTTCATTTCATGGAGCTATGAAAAAATGCCTGCCCTATTTTTTTTCCCCCTCTGGCTACAAGGCATCATTTCTAAAGCTTGTAAGTCAGACCATCTGTGCACTTTTTAGTTGGGAAACACTAGTAATCAAATAACCCTATTAATGGAAAATAAATCAGACAAAACCTTTTCAACCTTCAGAGCTTTTATGTGTTCAGTTGTGTTTTCCAGACGCAGTCTGTTCAGAAGATACTGCCATTGCAGGGACCACCTGACAGCAGATTCTGTGGATTGGGCAGCAGATTGTAAGACAAGGCAGTGGGGAGGAATAAGAATAGGAAATTTGGTTGGTTTTCTTCCGAGCCTCAGGAAAGAGAAGTAATCACTGCACAAATGTCAGGGCGCAGCTGAATTCCAGTGTGAGTGTGTGAGCGCTCGTTCCAGCCCACATTGGTGTGAGGAGGAGCCCGGGCTGTGGATTGTTGGTGAGTTTTACGAGCACAGGGAGGCAACGTGTCTCCATCAAACCGGGCAGCGGCCACAGCCGAGACTGCAGGCGGCACCAGCGGGGCAGAAAACATTCCTCCAAAAGGCTGGTTTTCCCCCTTTTGTTTTTTTTTATTTCAGCCCCAGGTTTAAGCCAATATAGAAAACTTTCCTTGGACAGTGCTTTGTTAGGCAGTAGAAATCCGACTCATGAGGGATTCTCATTAGGGGATTTGCTGTTTTCTGCTCTGGGGTCTGGAGCACAGAGCTGTGGCTGTGGGAACCCTGCAGGGAGCGACAATCCTGCTGGGGTGAGAGTGAGCTGTGGAGGACTTGGTGAGGCTGAGTTTTCCCACCTTTTCTGTCTTCCCTGTGTGCAGCTGGAAGGCCAGGCAGCTGTGGAACGTTTCTCCTCTGATCCTATATCAGAACTGCAAGTAGCACCTTCTGTGCTGTGGCTGGGGCTCACCTCCCAGTCCCGAGCAAAGCTGCTGATCACACCAAAGCAGAGCTTTTAACAGCTGATGTCTCACTCACACTGCTGTTTCTCAAGGCTCTTGTGATATCCCTGGTTACTGGAATCTTCTGATCCAAACTGAATTTCTGATGTTGGAAAATGGTTTTCCCTGTTATGCAGAAACCCTCAGCTATCTTCGCTCTGTGCCTTTCCTGCTTGAGAATGGCTGTTTCCTTTTACCTGTGCAGATGCTCATGAGTTCTCAGTGCAGGAAGCTAAAGGGACAGCCTGAGTGACTGCTCAAGAGCAGAGTTTAGTGTGCATTTTTTAAGGGTCTGGGCATTGCTGGGGTGGGTTCTTCACCCCCTTAATTTACCTCAGGCTGTTCAAGAGTAAAGTATTTGCTCCATTACATAAAAAGTATCACTTAGCAGTCAGGGCAGCTTTCATGTAATCTCTGGACAGAAAGCAAGCAGGCACTGGAACAGCATCAATGTCTCAGGGTCAAATAGTGAAGCTGAAATACCAGCTCTGATGGTGAGAACTAGAAGGAACTGTTACTACAGCTCTTTATAGTTTGTGCTCACCTGCAGAGTTCAGTTTTGTTGTGATGTTGGATCCTACACAAAGCTGTCCATCACACGTCCTGGATCTGCAGAGCCTCATTAGAGGAACGTGTTTAACTTGCATCCTTAAGCTCTGTCTTGGTAAAACAGGGATCTGTAGTGAGGCCCTATCTGTGCACTATGACCGCTTCGAATCACCTAGAAATACTGACTGTACATCTCCAAAGCACCACTTGCCAGGGAAAGGAGTTTTCTAGCCATAGGGAAGGGAGCAGTTTCTTATTGTTGGAATTGAGATTTTTCAGACCTTCCGTCCCGCCTGTTCAGGGCAGCGGTGATGTTTCCACCTCCGCACCGCCTGGTGTAGGTTCCTGTTCCTCTTCTGCCAGGCATAGGCCTTGTTCACCACCACCTTGTCGCTCTGTACCTCGCCACTTACAACAAAGACCCCAGCATGAGTGCCCCTCATGATGTTGTGGGCGCAGGTGGCATCAATGTCCAGCCACTGCTGGAGCCTGGAGGGGATTTCAGTCCTGAGGAGTGGGCCATGCTTCAGCACCTCCACCCTGGAAGGGTCCAGGTCAAAGTCCGAGATACTCGTGGTTGTGTTCTTCCTCAGGATCCGGATTTTCACTGCTGCAGGGGTTGGAAAAAGAGCTCTTAGTTCTGTTTGCTTTTCATAGCTCTCACCTACCTAAAAAGAAAGAGTCAGCCCAAGGCTTCTCTGCTGTCTCTGTAACATGGGGAGCATCTGCCCAATTTCTTGTAATTGCAGCGAACTTGTAAAAGTTCTCATCTGAGGTCAGTCCCCAGTACTGAACACTGTTCTTAGAGTCATAGAATTGTTTAGGTTGGAAAAGACATCTACCATCATTGAGTCCAACCATTAATCCACCACTGCCCAGTCCACCACTAAACCATGTCCCCGAGTACCACATCCATATATTTTTTAAGTACCTCCAGGGATGGTAACTCAACCAGTTCTCTGGGCAGGCTGTTCCAGGGCTTGACTACCCTTCCAGTGAGGATGTTTTCCCTAATACCCAATCTGAACCTCTCCAATGCAACTTGAGGCCTTTTCCTTTTGTCCTACTGCTTGTTACTTGGGAGACTTCCTTCTCACTCCGTTTTCCTCATGAGAGTAGCAAAGGTTTATCAGCACCACTGCATGGGGAGAAACCCTGTGGGAAGCACAGGCATAAGCAAGCAGTCCTGGTCTCCTGCAAACTGAGTTTTCTCTGAACTGGGATTTCAGGAGGTGACCTGACTGACAGCAACCTGGGATTTGTAACATTTTTTTTAATTATTAAAAATATTTTTATATGCATGCCTGAATTCAGGGCCTTATACTGAAAACTTCCTCCCAGCTGACTGAGCAGAGCCAGTGCTGCTGCCTACTTGGGCTAGGAGAGGAAGAGTCACATTACTAGAACAACAGTATTGAAGTTTGAAGTAGCCAGCATGGATTTTGCTAAAGGTTTTTGTGGACATTGATGGAAATGTTGATTTCAAAGGCAAAACCAGAGTAGTGCTTATTTTTAGCAGCCACAGACCAAAACCTAATCAGAAATAAAGCAGGTCTTCACCTTTGGTGCTACCTGGAGCCAGGCGCTCTTGCTGCCTCACAGGTAAGGTGGGACCTGAAAATACCTGACATCTGCTGTAAAAGCTGCAATTCCTCCAAGTCAGTATGTTGTGGCAAAGCCATTTTCTGTCCATGCCACTGCTTGGCTGCTGAAGGGAACAGCAGCAATTGAGAGGAAGAGGAGGGTACTCACCAAAATCATTGGCACAGAGGCTTTCCAGGATCTCCCTGGCAGTGCTGGCCTCCTCAAGCTCGCAGTCCTTGCAGCTGGCTCGGGGCACTGCTGCAACAGAAATTTGATTATAACACCCTTGTCAAGCTTCACTGGAAAACACACAATGAAATTTTGAGATCTGCAAATGGTGGCTTGCTGCTTCCAAGTGACACTTCTTCCTGAGCTACCCAGGCCCTGCAGAGACATCTCAGACTGCCAGGGTGGGAAATGTTAAGCTCTCCTTCCTGTGACTGGAGCAGGTCCCACTTGTTGTGCTTTGTTGGGACTTCTGTGTGTTGCTGCATTTTAAAGCAGCAGTGAAAATGCTTAATGAGGATCTCCTCACTAGGATGAAACAGCAAAGCCAGTGCTGTAGCCAGACTCCATCCAGTGATGCTGAAATGATGTTTGTTGAAATGTCTGTTCTCCCCTTAACTGCTCTTGAATCTACCCCAGTGTTCATCAGTATCTGGGTGTTTAATTTAGTCTTTCAGACAGATTTTTTTTTGGTGTAACTCATGTCTGCAGAGGCTCATATTCCTATGTGATGTTTCCCAGTGTTTAAAGAGAAGGCTTGCAAAACATTTCTTTTTGCATGTTTTTAAACCCTGGACGCAACTGAAAGATCAGGGCTGCAGCTCCATTGCTCTGCTGGAAGCACATCTCGCTGCCCTGCCGGGAGCCTGCACTCTATGAGCTCTCCTGCTGTGCCTGGGCTGGAGGCTTTACAGCCATTCCTTCCCCCTGCCCCAAACCCTGCGGGGTATGATGGCACCCAGGGAGCTAATGAATACAGCAGAGAGAGGAACAAACCACAGTCAATGTTATGCTAATTTTCTAGACACAGTTCCCAGAGAGAACAAAACTACGATTTATATTTTTTAAAAAAAAAATACAGCTTAAAACCAGAAATATTCAGAATAGAAACAAGTCATAGGATCATCCTTTTGAGCTTTGAGTGTTACATATGGGAAAGTACGTGAGGAAAAAACCTCTTACTTCTCCTGCTGGAGGCATTTTCGTCCATGGAGACTGCTGCGATGCACAGCTCATGATCTGCAGGGAACTTGTTGCAGTTCAGGATTTCAGGCCAGGGGTAGCCGTAACAAGCCATGACGGGCGCGCAGCTTCTCTTGACGGCTTCGCAGAGACTGCGGCAGGGGTAGATGAGCCTGGGGAGGGGATGGGGGTTCAGCACCTCCAAATGCCTGGCAGCAGGCTGAGGGTGGAGCCCTGGCACCACTGCTGTCCACAGGGCTGTGTTGCACACTGCAGTGCTAGCAGGCGATTTGGGGAGCTTTGATTTTTTTGAACATTCGCGTCCAGGCAGCAAACAATGAATTTCTGAGGACAGGAGGGATGAGGTTGTTCCATACAGGCTGCTGTCAGAAGCCCTTTGCCCCACCCCAGCCCCCAGGGATCTTCTCTAGTTGTGTGAAGGCTGCTTACCTTTACAAGTGCCTAATCAGATACCCAATTTCCTTAGCAGCTCTGTACTTTGAGGGCTGCATCTCAGAACTGGGGATTTCCCTCTGCTGCTGGAACTGTTTGGCTGAGAGACATGTTTGGGGCAGGAGCTGGGGTGAGGGGCTTCATGGGAGGTAGGAGGTGATGATGGTGGGTGCCAGCAGCTACTTTGGTGTGCGAGGGGGTGGCCAGGCAGCAGTGCCTGGGGTGGGAGAGCAGGAAAATCTAAAGGAGGGAACATAATATTTCTGCTTCTACCAGATGAAATGCTCATGTTTCGCTTTCACCCTGCTGAGTAGTCCAGTTGCCCCTTGCCGAGAGGGGCAGCATGGCTTCTTGGGGACTGCACTGATTACATCATGGGCATTTTCTGTCCAGAGGCACATGCAGCTGTGCTCTTGGGGAGAGTTAACTGTTACAGCTGAAATAACTTGTAAAAACATCTTACCTGTCCAAGCAGATTGGTGCAAAGAGGGAGCAGAGGAAAATCCTTGCATCTGGGTGGCACTCCCTGGCCAGCAAGGGCAGCCAGCTGGAAGACTGCTGGATGACTTCTGTCATGGTCTCATGCTCCAGCAGGTTGGGGATCCTCATCTCGGAGTAGCCGATATCGTAGCACAAGGCCATGCGGTGTGGGATGGGCATGCAGCTGGAGGATCTCCTCAGGTAGCTCGCCCAGGCTCCCGGAGAGCCCCAGAGCAGCAGCCACACCATGAGACCCAGCAGCCATGGGCCACCCACCCTCGAGGGGTGCCTGCGGTGGGCTGTGACCATGCTCAGAGCGGGAGGACGGGCAGTGCACCCTGGACTGAGCTGCTCCTGACTGTGAGATGCCTTTTATAGCCTAGGAGCCACCTCTCTGTCAATCCATCCTCATTAAGTGCGGCCCTTTCAGAGCCCTCATGGGGAAGACAATGCTCCAATTTTTGTTTGCCAGCGGCCCCGATTGTTTGTATTTTAGCAGGGGTTTGGCTTAGATCAGCAGGTGTGGAAATGAGGGCAGTTGGGGAGGGATGAATGACTTGGCCCATGTGTCTTGGGGCTCTTTCAGCCAAAATTGAATCTCTGTTTGACACCAGTGCTCCAACCCATCCCCTTTCTCTTGCTCCAGGATTAGTCATTATTTCATAAACCCCAATGTTTTCCTCTCTTTTGTTTTTTGTGAAAGCAATCAAGTGTTGCTCAAAGTCAATTAGGAGGCATTTGTTTAGCTGGATCTATTGTTGAACAGGCAGGGAGATAGGATGGTCTCACAGCCAGAAGTTAACTGTTTAGGAGAGCTGAGGGCAGAGAGGAACTAATTTGCAGCTGTGGAGCCAGGTTGTTTGCGGATGGGATTGGCAGCACTCAGCTGGAAACCCTCTCACCTTGCAACCTGTGTGACAGCACACTTTCTGGTTAACAGAATTCCTGCTTCCTTCTGAAATCCTGTTACTACCACTGAAGAGCAGAATTGTCCTTCCTCCAGCACATAATTAAGATTCCATAATCCATCATTATTGTAGCCCAGTCTGGGGAGCTGGAAATAGTGGGGGTGCTGGTTGCCAGCACGCACAGTTCATTTGGACCTGGTGCTATGCCACGAGGTTCAAACTGGTCAGTGGAAGCTCCAGCTCTGAAACATCCTCTGGCACAAGGACCCTGCGCTGCCTGTGGCGGAAATTGCTTCCTGGGAGGGTGTTACAGATACAGCTGGCTGCATTGTGTTCCTGGGGCTTCCCAGGAACAGCCCATTCTCTACAGTGCTAGTTCTAGTCTGTACTTAGCAAGAAGCCAACTGCTTATTGACAGCTTGAGCCGATACGGTTGATTTCAGGTCACGGAAGTAATTAATTTTTTTCCCCCATTTGAGGATTGCTGCCATAGTTGATCTATAATATGTCTTTGGCACATACCTGCAGGAGCTCCAGGAAGCTGCAGTTTTGGAGAGCAGGACCTTGGATCTAGGAGCACTTAAGCTGTCCTGCATTGGTGGCTTTTCTTTCCCTTTTCAAAAATCTCAGTAGCTGGTAACAAGATCACCACAGTAGTGACAGATACCAGCCAGGAGGATCCTCTCAACCTTCTGGGCCACAGTCTAACTCTGGAATGGGACCTTGCCAGTACTTTCCAAGTATACCATGCAGCTAGAAATCTCCTCATGGTCATTGGAGGATTTCTCTGCATTTAAATTTGCTTGGGATCCTGGAATTGCCTGATTGCTGCTGGGTTTATGCTGCAAAGGAAAGCTGGTAATACCTGGATATGGAGTGTGGCATCCTCCATGTGCAGTATGTTCCCCTTTAATATTGCATTTGAAGACCATTTTTAGTGGAGGATCAAGAGAATGAGTGGGGAAAAGTTAGAATTTTTCTCCTTTCTGTTTGAGTTTTATAGTAGAGCACTGGACCATGCCCCCCCGAATTATATGTGCGAAAGGTATTTGGTTTTGTGCAAAGAACAAGGACGCCTGAAACCTGGGCTGTCACCACTGCCCACTGTAAGGATTTTTGGCCTCCCTTCCTGTAAAGCAGCAATTCCCAGACTGTGATTAAAATGGCACCTTTGAAATGGTAATATGCAGTGATATGCACGTTTGTTCACTCCTTTGTCCATTGTGGTATGTGTGAGAGAGTTTAAGGGCTTGACCTCTGCATCCAAACATTTAGGAACTGCTGCTGTAAAAATACCTGCCTCCAGCAGCTCAGGTGTGTGGTGTATGCTCTTTGAGAGCTCTTCTGGTAGAAGGGTGGATGTCTTTGAATGTCCCAAACTTAGGCAATTCCTAAATTACACCCCACCTCTTTTTTTTTTTTTCCTGAGTCTCCTGCCAGTGGTATGGGATCCCACTGTAACAGTTCCTCAGTCTCTGTTGGTGCTCACACTTTTGCTTTAGAAATTCCCGACTTCCTGACAGAGGAGGAGTGCAAGCTCATCGTCCATCTTGCAAAGCTGAAGGGGCTGCAGAAGAGCCAGATCTTACCAACAGATGACTATGAGGAAGCCATGGAAATGATTGAAATCAGCCAGATGGACATTTTCAATCTCCTGGACCATAATCAGGATGGGCAGCTGCAGCTCAAAGAGGTAGAATGTTGGACAGACCAGGGGTGGTTTGCTGGGCACCCTCTGACAGGTCCCCTCCTCAGGTGGTCTCTTGGTTACTCATGTGCTTGGGTAGGGCAGACCCCGGTGTATACCAAACAGTATTTGCTGGATTTTATGTCTTAAGGCTTGTGCTGGCCTTCAGCATGGAAGTTTCTGGGGCAATGTGCAGTAGTTATCATGCTATTGGGAGGTAGCAGCGGTCCTTGGCAGGACACGTGTTTTGAATATGCTGGATAAAATGTTCCTTGTGTTGTGGGTTACCTCTTGCCAGGTGTCCCAGGAAGTGAGTTTGTCGCCTGAGCCCTGCTTTGTGCAGCCTGTGGGAAACTCCCTGTGTGAATTCACAAGCCCCAGCAAAGCCACCCCTATTGAGGAGCCCAGGGGGGATAATGAGCACATTGTCCACAGCTCTTCAGCACCCTTGCCCTTTATAGGAGGGTGCATCAGGGCAGGTCCTGGCAGTCCAAGGATGTCCCTCCCTAGGCTCTCATTTCAGGTGGAGCCGGGGGTCTGACTCATCCTATGGGCCACAAGTGTTGCAGGGTATGGGAAACTGCACCAGTCATAACCCAGGGCAAGGCTCCTTTCTCTGGAGCCTGCTGGAAGCTCTTCAGGATCCTGCATCTCTCTGCACACATGAAAAGAAAGCATTTTGTTCCAAGCCCTTATCTTGGACAAGGAAAAGCATTCACTTTTATCATCAATAGCTTCACTTTCCATTCAAGAGAAAGAGCTGTGCCCCTTCCACCTCAGGGCTGGTTAACCAAATCCCAGCAGTCATTTGCCATGACCTAAACTGGAAATAACAACACTCACCAGCCACACTCTGTGTGTGGCTGCCAGATGATTCTCACCACAGTTGTGTTTCTGCGGAAATGTGCCGATGCCTGGCTGGCTCTGCAGAGGATCTCAGAGGCCTCACACAGGGAATCTGCAGGGGTTTGGGAGTACAAGAAACCAGTGCCCTGTGTTGATCCATTTATGAATTTCAGGTGTTGACCCACACTCGGCTTGGGAACGGCAGGTGGATGACCCCTGAAAACATCCGTGAGATGTACACAGCAGTCAAGGCTGATCCTGATGGGAATGGTAAGACCAGCTTTTGGGGAATCCCTTTTGCCCTCAGCACGTTGGATGCCTCATGCAGCCATGTGGGGCAGAGCAAGAGCCGTGTCCCTGCTCTGGCCTGTTTCTCTAGCTGAGTTCTGCAGAGGAAAGTAACACTGCTTTGGAAACTTTCTCAGGAAAGTAATCTCAGTGTAAACCTGATATCACAGCACTCCTGCCCCTGCATCACCAATCTAAGAGCAGACTGGTCCCACCACCTGGGCTTGGGTCTTGCAGGAGCAGCACCAGAACACAACTCTGCACTCCCTCTCCCCTGTCACACCTGCCTTGGTTTGTGCCCCATAGTAGCAAGACCTTCGGAGTGCACTTTTGCTCCCCTGATCTGACAGACTGCTCTGGCTCTGACTACAGAGCTCTTGTTACCTGGGATGCAGGTGTTAAGACACACCTTCCACGCCCCCCCTTGTTTTCAGGGAGGCTTCTGCAGCAGGCTGGAAGTCCCATGTCACTGGCAGGGGAGGGTGGAATTAAGTGGCAGTGAGGATGGTCTTGTCAGCGTTTTTCACTGACTGCCCTCTCTGCCACTGCAAAGTCCCTCCATGAGGCCACTTCTACCCCTCCTGCCCCTGGTCTCCCTAGGGCTCCCACACTGTCCGGATGAGCACTCTAACCTCTGCTGCTCTAATTAGAGTGGCCTCAATTAGGCAGCACTCCATTTCCTAATCAAATTAAGTGAATGCACAGGCTCTGCACGCTCTCTTCCAGTGACCTGGCATTGAGAGCTGCCCAGGAGGAGTTGCTTTGGAGTTGAAACAGTACCAAGTGTGAATGCATAAATATCCGGAGGGCACCCCGTGCCCTCTCCTCCAGGCTGGTGGCATTCTTGGCAGGGGTATGACTGAGTCCTCAGTGGCTTTTCCACCGTTCTGGACATTAACAAATGAAAGGTCCTGTTAAAGGCCTCTTGGCAGGACCTTGCTTCCAGAGTGCTGCTTCCCTCTGTTGTTAGATTGGTACGTGACACTGAGGGACCAGGTCACAACCTGGATGTGGCCCTGCGTCATCAGACCATGGGGAGTGAGGGGAAATGGGGACAGAGAGACAGTAGGAATAATAACAATGGATCATTTGGTCGTGACCACTGACACCTGAGGAACTGTCCCAGGCTGACCCTGGTGGCTGGTCCTTCCTGCTGCCAGGGGGTGCTGTGCCCAGGGAGCAGAGCTGGCACCCAGCAGCACTGGGTTTGCTGCCTGAATGAGCTCCACTCCCAGCCCATGGTGTGTGCTGGCTGCTGGGCAGCACAGGGCACAGCACTGCACGCTGGTGTCAGGACCTGGTCCCCAGTGTGAGGCTTCCCTTCTCCAGAAAGAGGAAACAACAAATTTGAGGACTCTTCTGAAGCAAAATAAGGCAAAAGTCCACCCCTTGCTGGGTCCAGTTGAGTGCAAACAAGAAATACCTGTTTTAGGAGAAACCGCTTTTTAGCTCTCACTTTTCTTTTACTTCTACCTAGGCAAGATCATACCCTGATGTATTCCTCACTCGTGTTTTGCAATTACACAAATGCAGGAGAATGTACTGCTTGTTTTGAGTTTGGCTTTTTTTAATTAGCCCACAAGATCGTGTGGAAAATGTGGTCTGAGGTGTCCCACTCTGTCCTTAAATGCGTTTATTTAAATATCTAAGTAACAAGTCCCAAGACGCTGGGTGGCACAGACTTTTTTGTGTATGTTAGAACTGTAGTGGGCTGTTTCTCTCTTTTGATGGATTGGTTTGTGTGTTTTAGGAGCTTTTTAAAGTTCAGAATAGTGCTTTGCCTGTCCCAGTTCTGACCCTGCACGGTTCACGTTGGCAGGTTGCTGTAAGTCGTCTGCTGCAGGCGAGAGCCTTGTTGGGGCCCGTGATCCTGAGTGTAGGAGTACAGAGCCTGTGGTGGGCACAGGACCCTGACTGGGGTCTGTTTGAGGAGGGCAGTTTCTGCAGCACCCTCAGCTGGTTTTTCTTCCAGTACAGGATGCCAGAAACTATTACCTGCACCAGAGTCAGGCAGCTTTTCCTCTGTTCCTGTAGGTGTGCTGAGTTTGGAGGAGTTCAAACAGTTGAATATCCGTGATTTCCATAAGTACATGGGAAGCCAGAAGGTGAAGATGAGTGACCTGGTGCGCAACAGCCAGCACACCTGGCTGTACCAGGGCGAGGGGGCACACCAGGTCATGAGAGCCATACGGCAAAGGTAAGGGCCGAGCAGCCAAGGGGTGGCTGGGTTTGGGAAGGCACGAGGATCACCTGTGCTGGGAGAGGCAGGGGCAGACTTGCTAACATCTACATTTCCTAATTGTGTGTAAGTCGTTGGAGTATAAAGAGCAGTTAACACAGACACAAAATGGGAAGATAAGGTTTTCATTAGAACAAGAATTTGTATTGTCCCGTGGAAAGGGAAAAAGAAAAATCAAATCTTTCAGCATCTCCATTCACTTTTGGGAACAGCCCTATAAAACCAGGAAGATTTGGCAGTATATGAAATACTTCATTCTAATTAGTAAATGAGCTTACTGGGAGAAGCTGCCCATTTCCAATGCTGTCTGGGCGCCAGTAGTTGCTGTCATTTGCTTTAGTTACTCATGCATTTCACTGAAATCTGTCTTAGCTACTCAGAACTGACTTTTTAACAAGCACGACTTCACCTAGAATAAGCCAAGTTAGTTCAGTCCTCCAAGCACACATATTGTAGGGCAGCTCACGGCAGGTGGGAGAACCTCTTACCCTTCCCTTCATCTCAGATGAAACCCAGCACTCAGACCAAATCGTGTAGCATTGGTGAGTTTCAAATAGTTGGCTGGAGACTCTCTTGTTCTTGTGGTGCTGGTCCTCACCCAGAACATGGGTGGGTAAAATCTGTCCTGAAGCTTGAAAATGGCTGTTGGCCACTCCTTTTCTTCAGCGCATTCCAGCGGGAGAATGGGGTCGCATATTGCCTTGATTAGAGCAGACTGTGGCTGCCACCTTCTCCGTGCCAGCCAGCACACACACCATGTGTCAGCATTCCACTTGGACGCTCCTCAGTTGGCTGTTAGGAGGATGTGAAGACACAGTGCTGAAGGAGGCTGTTAGTCCTCCTTGGGACCATGCAGTGCCTGGAGGGGGTTTGCCATCCTGCCCAGGTGCCATGTTCTCCTTGCACCTGCCCCAAGGGCTTCACTGGTCCAGATTCTCAGAGCTCTGAGTGTTCTTTGGCAGGTCTCAAGACGTACCTGCTTACCTTGGGGATGATCTCAGATGTAGCAGTGGAAAAATCCCAGAGCAGGAGGGCTCCGGTCTCCTTGGTCACTTCCAGTGCCCCTCTGCCCTGGGGGAGGCTGCTGCAAAGGCAACAGGGAAAGGTGAGTTAGGTGACAAGACTATTCCTAGAGCTAGTCTCTCGTTCACTCTCAGCAGGGGCCCTGTGCTTTGCTAACTGTCCCTGAGGTCTGTAGGTGGTGTGCAGGAGTCCAGAGAATTGATGACACATGAAGGCTCCAGGGACACGCACAGAAAGAGAGGATCTTGCTGAGCAAGCAAAGACTTCCTGAGAGCAGTCCTGCTGGAGATGCATCCTTCGGTTTTGGTTTTCTGGGTTTTTTTTATTAACCTTGACAAGGGCTTTCTGACTGATACTGATGGACCAACAGATCTATAAGGACTATCTTTGTTTGCTAGCTAGTGCCATCCCCCAAAGACATCAGGAGCCACTGACCTACCGCCTGTAAGCAAAGGCCTTTCAGAGTCAGGAAGCTCCTACCCAGCTGGTGACAAGAAGATTCTACAGTTCCCGCTAGCAGGCAGCTATCCCCTTTAGCTGTTTTCTGAGCTCCCAGCTACAGTAAGAAGATGATGGCTGTCACCTCCTGCAGTCTACCCCTCCCAAGAGCCAAGTCTTGAAACAAGCCCATACCTTGGCATGCAGCCATCCGTCTCTCCGGTCTGTTGGGGAAGGGGGTTCTCTTTCTCTAGATGTATTCACTGCTTGGGAGTAGCATCTGACCAGGCTGAGGGTGCTTCCCGCTCACCTGCCTTGCTCTTCCCCAGGGTGATGCGCCTGACTCGCTTGCCCCCCGAGATCGTGGAGCACAGCGAGCCCCTCCAGGTTGTGCGGTACGACCAGGGAGGGCACTACCATGCCCACATGGACAGTGGCCCCGTGTTCCCTGAGACTGCCTGCAGCCACACAAAGCTCGTCGCCAACGAGAGCGCTCCTTTTGAGACCTCCTGCCGGTAAGCTCTGCCCTGACACAGTCTGGAACGCGTTAGAGAAGGGGTGTGGAGAGACATCTCACTTTGCCCCCGCATGGGACTTGGATTATGGGGCTCACAAACCAGCTCAGGAGATCACTGGCATAAAGGGGTTTGAAGGAGAAGGCAGGCAAATCCTGTGGGTGCTCACATGGAGGACAGAGTGATGTGCAGAGCTGCTGGGCCATCCCCACCAGAGCCTACAAGCTCACTCTCACTGTTCTGGGTGGGGATTTTCTTTGTTGTCCTTGTGTTATTCTTTGAGAAAAGCTGATGATGTAAATCATGTGCCTTGTTATGTCTTGGAGGAGCTGCTGTGTGTATGGTGGAGGGGCAGGGTGTGGAGAGCCCCTGTGCCTCTCCTCCAGGTGTTCCAGGTGTGCCCCCCGACAGCCCCTCTGTCTTGCAGGTATGTGACTGTGCTGTTCTACCTGAACAATGTGACTGGGGGAGGCGAGACAGTCTTTCCTATTGCTGATAACAGGACGTACGAAGAGATGGTAAATGGACTTCACCTTCGTGTTACCCCTGGGGATTCTCAGTCCCTCTTTGAATGTCTTCATTCACTGTGACTGCAGAAGGGGGCTGGTGTGTGAGGCTGCTGAGCGTTAGGGAAGCTGTGCTCCGCTTATGGTCTTCTCCCTCTGAGGCCGAGGGAAGAAGCACGGGGCTTTGACAGCTGCAGCTCTCCCTGCTCAGAGGTGTGAGGGGGAGTCTCTTGGCCTTGCTGCCACAACATGAGTCCTGCTTGCTTCTCTCTGAGCACGTTTCCTCAGACTAAGCCTTGGCAGGTATGTTGTGCTCCTGCCAGGCAACGTGTTAAGGAATGGGCAGCTGCTCAGAAACAGGTTATGGACCTCCAGGGGACTGAAACTGGCTACTCTGGGTGGGTTGTGAAAGCCCCTGTGTCACCCTTGAGCTGTCCCTGTGGGGCAAGGAGCAGGGTGATGGCTGGTAGCAGGGATAGCCCAGTGCATGTGCCTCATTCCAGCCCCATTGGCAACACCTTCCCTGTGGTTCCTCCCCAGTCTTTGATCCAGAACGATGTTGACCTGCGAGATACTCGGAAAAACTGCGACAAGGGCAATTTGCGAGTGAAACCTCAGCAAGGCACTGCTGTCTTCTGGTACAACTACCTGTCCGACGGAGAAGGTATGGGCTTGTTTCAAGACTTGGCTCTTGGGAGGGGTAGACTGCAGGAGGTGACAGCCATCATCTTCTTGCTGTAGCTGGGAGCTCAGAAAACAGCTAAAGGGGATAGCTGCCTGCTAGCGGGAACTGTAGAATCTTCTTGTCACCAGCTGGGTAGGAGCTTCCTGACTCTGAAAGGCCTTTGTTTACAGGCAGTAGGTCAGTGGCTCCTGATGTCTTTGGGGGACGGGAGTAGCTAGCAAACAAAGACCTTGGCTGCACTCACCACCGCCAGCTGCCTCCCATCCTGCTGTGCGAGCTGAAACTCCTGCTGGAACTTGGTCTGCAATTCAAAATGTGTCACTGATGTGGTGTTGCCCAAAGGGGTGGGGAGGGGAGGTAGACAAAGGCACGGCCATCAAGGCAGGCAGGGGCCACCCCACACAAGGCTTGGGGCCGACGCCTGCTTTGTAGCTCAGCCGCAACCCCGTGGTATCTGTCCTTGGGGCTGTTTTTGTCATGAAGCACAGTGTGGTTTGCCCTGACAGGCTGGGCTTTGACATGAATATTCCAGGCTGCTGGTGAGCATGGCTCCAGAGGGTTTCGATGGCAGATTTTGAGCTGTGGTGGGAGGAAGGAGTATAAACTCCCAGGGCCCCTGGGAGCAGCCCATGTTTCCATCTCTAGAAAATCCACAGAGAGGAGGTCACAAGACCAGTGTTTGGGCTGTTGGGTGAGAATATCAAGACCATCAATGCTGCGAGAAGAGCCCTGTTGTGTTTTTATGAGCAATTTGTTCCTAAATGGAAAGTAGCTGCTGATGCAAGTCTGCCACAGAAAAACCATGGGACCTCTGTAAAGAGAGGGTAATTTAGAACTGCTGAAATGCAGTCTCCAAAATGGCTATCAGCCTCTGACTTCACAGGCCTTCTACCAGCAGCACTCATTTCTTCCATGCCAGCTTCCCTTTTTGGGAAGAGTTGAGAAAAACAGCTGCTGTGATGCAGAATGCAAGAGCCCCCTTGTGCTGAGTGGAGATGTGGGGGCAATGAGCATTTTTTACCCAGGAGTGTGTCCTGGTGAACTCCTCATAGGCACTAGGGTGGGGTGGCACTAAGATGGAGGGGTGCTAGGAGGAGCTACTCCTGTAAGATGTATCAGCTCAAATCCAAGCAGGCACTGCAGGCAGGAGAGCCGACATCAGTGTTTGCTGGCCAGGTGTCCCCACACGGTCCTGGCTCTGCCTGCCCTCCTCACCACCTCCTACCAGGGCTCTGCTCTTTTGCAGGCTGGGTGGGGGAGCTGGATGACTTCGCCCTGCACGGAGGCTGCCTGGTCACCCAAGGCACGAAGTGGATTGCCAACAACTGGA